AACCTAAAATTTGGACCAAAACCCGATTACCCATTCACCTTTGAGCCCGATTATGCAATTTGTTTTGGAATTCGATCTCAATTTGAGGTCTAAATCCCAATTTCACAAAAATTCCTAATTCTACCCAAACCCTTAATTACCACCATGAAAACACTAGATTTTAGGTTGAAACCTTAGGAAATGTAATGAAAGATTGAAAAGAAATGGATTAGAATCACTTACCAATGATGTGGGGAAGAAGGGTGCTTGGGAAAGTCGCCTCTAGGATTTTCTTGTTCTAAAAATTTGAAGAATGAACGAAAATCCCGTCTAACTCAAGTTTTACACAGCTGCAGATGTCGCAATTATGATATCATGTTCGTAATTGCGAAGATTACAATTGCGAGAAAGAGGTCGCAATTGCGAACTCCTTCCCAAAGCCCAGTAATCGCATTTATGATAAATTGGTAGCATATGCGAACCCTGATGCCATTGCAAATGCGGACCATTCTTCGCAAATGCGAAGATCATCCCAACAGTGCTGAGACGCAAATACGACTCTGCCTTCACAAAAGCGGAATTGGCAAGTTCGCAAATGCAAACTTTTACCACGCAATGCAAGTACCCCTATCATGCACAGGCTCGCAAATGTGATGGTCTCTTCGCAAATGCGAGCCAGATCTCGTAAATGTGAGATCTTCAGCAACCACCAGAAATTAAAATGCATCATATGTTTTGTAAGTCCAATTCACTCCGTAACCTATCCGCAACTCACCCGAGCCCTCGGGGCTCCAAACCAAACATCCACACAAGTCCTAAAATATCATACTAACTTGGTCGCCCGATCAAATCGCCAAAGTAGCACCTAGAACTACGAATTGAACAGCAAATCAATCGAAATTTTCAAGAAAAAATTGAAACTTCTACTTTCACAATCGGACGTCCGAATCACGTCAAACCAACTCCGTTTCTCACCAAATTTGACAGACAAGTCATAAATGTAGTATTGGACCTATACCGAATTTCGAAACCATAAAACGGACCCGATATCAACAAAGTCAAACATTGGTCAAACTTTCAAAGTCATTAAGCTTTTATACTTTCAAATTTCAACAAAGCCCAATAACTCGGGCTAGGGACTTCCGAATTCGATTCCGAGCATACGCTCATATCCCAAATCACAATACGGACCCACCGGGACCGTCAAAATACGAATTCGTGTCCGTTTACTCGAAACATTGACCGAAGTCAACTCAAATGGATTCAAAGCAAAAACTTCATATTTTTATCAGTTCTTAACATAAAAGTTTTTCGAAAAAACATCCGGACTGTGCACACAAATCGAGGAGGGCTAAAATAAGGTATTTAAGGCTTCAAAGCGCAAAATTGAGTTCTAAAACATAAAATGACTTATCGTGTCATCACATAATGGTAATCGTCAGCTTTTAATTGCTCATCCTTGTAATACAAAAGATATGTGAATGTGATATAGCCTCTTTTCACCTGGTATTTCTCTTCCTTTTGCTTAACCACTTCTTTCTCCTCCAATTTTCTTTCAATACAGATTTCGTGATTTCCACGAAAAATTATTGTTCCATCAAGTTATCTTTTGTATTTCATATTCTCAGTTAAAGTGTTTCTAGTATAACGAATTGTCTTTCTTAACTTTTAATAAATATCCGTATTAGCAAGCAAAAAAAAAAGTATAACGAATCGCATGACTCTGCACTAATCAGAAAACAAACAAAAGATAGGCAGCGATATATAAACAAAGAATGAAGCTGCTAAAAGCCAATTTAGAAAGCCAAAGGTGTATAGTCAAAAAAAGGAAACTTGAATATCTCAAACTCTTAAGTGGCCAAGTAGTGTATCCAACATTATATATAGTTGCTGAATTCAAACCTCCACATCAGAAACGCACAGCAATGCCTGTCTCTGTTTCCCGATTAAGACAGCAGAATTTGTACCTGAATTCAAACCTTCACATCAGAAAGTAATTTAAAAAATACATCTAGTACCTGAAAGTAAAAACATGCAAGGTGGGTAATTTATTTTGGCGGATAACTCCTTAAGAGCAACGAAGGTATGTGAAGATAGGCTTAAGCTAATATTTTGCTCGTAAGCATAATAGTATAAGTATGTTTGACTGTGAGACCGACTCATCGAACATAGAAGAAAGATGGTCATAATGAACAAAAAGATTTGAAGTGGTCTATAATATATTAAATATTCGATAGAACTCGCGTATTTTTGTACAAACGAAGTAATACTAACATCTCCCATAGTCAATCTATTTCCATCCGACCGGTGGGAGCGAGAAAAAAAAAAGCAGATCTAGTGGCTTTTCCACATAATTAATAGGGATAAGGATGCCCATCTATGAGTAACGGAGTTTAAAGGATTGCTCCTATATTTGTACGGGCTGAAGGCGTAAGCGGCTAAGCCAGTAAAGCAAAGGTTTAGGCCTCATTTTTTCTATTTAAAATAGGTGCTAACGTTAATTTTTCTCCAACAATATTTAATATTATTCTAAGATAAAAATAAAAGATCATTATAATAATAATAATAAACTATTTAGCCATGTTATTGATGGCTATACTGTCACTTGAGAAAGAATTATTAAGAGAAATTGGTTACTAAAAGATTATTTAAATAATAATTTGTATTTCAAAGAGTTAATAAAAAATTAAATAAAAGTATATATGGAAAATTTTCTCAAAAAGCTTAAGATCTCTTAATAAAGCTGGTGTTGGCTCTAAGTCACCAACTTTATTGAGCGGCTTTGACCGGCAATGTTAAAATGTTAATCTTTAATATGAGATAACTTGTCTTATTTTCTACTTACAAATTTCATTTTCTATAGGCAACTATCGTAGAATTCTTTTTTTACCTGCTTGCTTAATTTTACTGTTATAATTTATGTGGCAATATTTTTTTTGTAGTCTATTTTAAAAAGAATGATAACTTTTTAAATTAATAATTTCACGTAAACTTTTCATTTTATAGTCACATAAATATTTATAACTTATTTTAGATCACAAATTTAAAAAATCGTCATTTTTTTTTAAATTTCATGTCAATTCAAACTTTGACACATAAAGTAGAACGGAGTGGGGGTTCGTTTGGCCAAGCTGCCAAAAACTGCTTAATTTGAAAAGTACTTTTTTTAGAAGTACTTTATTCAAATGTATTTTAAAAAAAAAATAATTTATGTTTGACCAATTTATTTAAGAAGTACTTTTGCAACATTTGGTAAACAAATTATGTTTCGTCAATCATTTTAAAAAGTGCTTTTGAGTATCAAATTACCAAAAAAGATAGTACCAAGGTCTTATGATTATTTTAAAGAGACTTTTATTATCGTAAGAGACTTTTATTATTTATCGTAAGAGACTTTTGAAATATAAAACATAAAGTAAACATACATTTTAAAGATTTAAATCAATATAACATATATAGTTATACCAAAACATATAATATTATCTAGTATAGTTACTTATTGTCATCATTCAGTATGAATTAGAAGTCTATTCCACAAAATACAATATATTGATAATCTACTATGAAATAATAAGCAAAGTCACTCACACATGATAATATTTCTCAACAATTTAATCTCTAATTCTATCATACAACGCCTCCATATTAGTAGAAGACTTGCCTTGCATTTCTAAAGGAATACCAGAAGGCCTATCTCCTTCCTCAATCTCTGTAGTAATGTCTTCATTAGCATAATAGTTGAATTCTTTATCGGTAGAAGAATATCGTCGGATGAAATTATGTATATCCATGGTAGTTGTAACAAGATGATTCTGAATGTCAAACTTGAAATATGGTATTAGGCGTAAATAGAAATAAATTTAAATATATAAAAAATTATTGTTATCGTAAAAAAAATAGTTTAGTATGTTTAAATTCAAAGTCAAAAAGAGTAAATAATTATTAACAACACATAATGCATAACTTAATTATTTTAAATTTAAATTAAAATAAACTAATTATTATCTAACATAACTAACTTTCTCCTAAATTGTCAAGTGACATATTGTGAGACTGTCGCTTGACTTAATGTGGATATTTTTTCTTCTTTTTTTAATAAAATATAGACTATGCGATGCAATTGTAAATTTATTACCTATTTGAAAGTAATCCTCACAAATTAAACTTGATAACTATTTTAAAAATTCGGAAATTAGTTGCCTAACGAAATAAATTATAAATGATTATTTGTAGGAATAGAATTGGTAATCCAAAGAAGGATGTAGATAATTTATTTTAGTGAGAAAATGTGAAAAAAAGAAGAAAATAATTTGAAAAGTTACAAGAATTACACAAAGAAAAAATCATAAACAAGAAGAATTTAGAAAGATACATTATATATATATATATATATACATACGATATCTCTAATTTTAAAGGAATGGTAGAAACTAAAAACAAAAAAGAAAAGAAAAAGCTTAAATTAGTAAGTGATAATTTGAAAAATATAAATTTATAGTGAGGATAGTTTTGTCTTGAATAAATTAATTTTCTGCTTCTGCTTCTGCTTCTGCTTTTTAGAAGAAGCTTTTCTGCTTTTTTCCAAAAAGAAAAATGTTTTTACTGCTGACCAAAAGTACTTCTCCTTCTTGGCCAAACAGCTTAAATTTTTTTAAAAATATCTTTTTTGAAAGAAAATAAAAAAAGTACTTTTAACCTCCGTGAATCTTGGTCAAATAGTCTCTGAGTCTAAGTTAAAAGTATAAAAAATGAGCTCCTGCTATGAAGGTCTTTAATTTTGGGTCACTGACTAACCAAAAAAGACGCGTTAAACAAATCTAGTACAGTACTCCTGCTACAAAGCTCTTCAATTCTCAGCTATTGAAGTCAAAAATTATACTAGTGAAGTTAAAGCGTGTGAATAACAGAGCATTCTATTAGCTGTATCGCAGACGGGGTCAACTTCCATCACTTCCTTCATTATCATCATTACTAACATATGCACTATTTTCTTTCACTATATATCTATACTTTCTGGAAGAAATAAAATCCAACAAACCCGATATTCTCACTTTTTTTCCTTACTTAAAAATGCACACTAACACTCTGCTTTTATGCATTTTCCTCCTTTTCAGGGTAAGTTACCATATTAATTAATCTTTTGTCTTTTTCACTTTCCCAAAGTAGACTACTATACTACTCCTCCATTCAATTTTACTTGGTATGTATACTAAAAATAGATTTTCATTTTACTTATCACTTTACGCATATCAAGATAAGCTAATTCTTTTGCTGTTATACCCACAGTATTTAATACTTATTTCAAATTATTTTCTCAAATCTAATAAAATATGCATCAATTAATATGGTATCATGATAAATTATGCACTTCATTTATTATTTCTTAAGGGGCGTAAAAAGTAAAACGTGCCAAGTAAAAGTGAACGGAGGGAGTAATTAATTTCTTTATAACACTTTCTTATTTCTTCTGTATATGTCGTGTCCATGCAGGTAATTGTTGCCAGATTCTGGCGATTCAATAAACCCTTTTACCCCAAAAGCATATTTGATTCGTTACTGGAAGAAACAGATTTCAAATGAATTACCAAAACCTTGGTTTCTTCTCAATAAAGCATCACCATTAAATGCTGCAATTGCAACTTACTCAAAACTAGCAGGGGATCAAGAATCTCTCTCAAAGGAGATTTCCTCCTTTTGCTCCTCTGCTAATCTTCTCTGTTTCCCTGACATATCATCAAGTCTAGAGAAACATGGTCAAGATGTGCAATTTTCTTCCTACATGAGCAAGAATTTCACCAACTATGGATCTAAATTGCCACGCGGTTTCGACAGCTTCAAGAAATATGCTGAGAATGACAACCTTCCCGTGAATTCATTCCGTCAATACAGCCGTGGTGGTGCTGGCCATGATGATATGTTTTCCACTTACGCCCCAAATGGAAATGTGGTTGATCAAAGCTTCAACACATACGGCACAGGTCAGTCCGAGCTAGGATTTTTTTCTAAAGAAACGAAAGAATGAATTCAACTATGTCGAGGCGGTTTTAACAAATTATATAAATGCAACAACAAAAAAAAGATCGTCTTAATTATTTGTACAGAGTTCAACTAATACTACCGACAGTGTATGAGAAGTTTTATTTTGTGTCTCATACAACTGACACTAGTTGTATGAGGCTCCTTTTTGTCTCACAAATTTATGGACCCCAATCTTACACTTCTGGGTCCACAGAAATCTGGGTCCACAAAATTGTGAGACAAAAAGATTGCCTCATACAACTAGTGTCAGTTGTATGAGACACAAAATAAAATTTTCCGACAGTGTATAGAATTTTTACAGTATCATGTCACTTTTAACTGACTTAACAGGTAACATGTATTATTTTTAATATTACAAATTTTACTTTTTAGGAAGAGTTATTTGTTGAGGTCATGATCTTGCACGTCCTCGATAAGCGGACCCGATCTGCGTCCGTTTGGAAGAAATTTGGTCGTGTTGATTAAATCGAATCTGCCGAGGTCGAAAAGCGGCGTGGCCAGCGAGGCTACAGTTGGTGTGGCTAACGGGGGTGACGTCATGGCCACGCGCGTCATTATTACGCGTCTCCCGTTGTAGTGCCTGTGCTTCTGCCGTTTCGATTTCGGTGCCATTGACATCTGCTGCTTCATTCTGGTGCCACCCAACCCTATAAATAGATTGGGGGGGGGGGGGGCTTCATTTTTGAAAATTTTCATCATTTCTCATTTCGCCCATGCATTGCTCTTCTTTGATCTTCTTCTCCGATTTTTGCTTTCAATTCCTTGTATCTTCCTCAATTCTAATCCCTAACTTCTCACCCAATCAATACCTTCTCCAATTTATGTCGCGTACGTTTTCTACGGAAATATGTCAGAATCCCCTCATATTCACGAAGAGGCTCCGATACCATTCCTTTATCGGCGGCTCTTCCTCCGAGTGGCAAGGAATTCATGGCTGAAGATGATGGCAGGTTCCCCACTGTGGAGGAGATAGTCCCCAAGAATCCTTTGCTCAAACATGACTTCCCAAAGGAACCTGCTCCTGCTCCTGCTTAGAGACTTTCTGAGACGAGGCCGCCTCAGATAAACGACCTCTGGTCTAAACATCGCATTCCTCCTCACGTCGAAATTGTTCCGGCCGGGGGCGACATCTTAGAGGTTCACCGACCCGGCTACTATGCTTTTTACGTTTATCCATTCCTAATTGGTTATTCTCTTCCTCTTCCCCCATTAGCGGAAGAGTTTTGCCGATTTTATAACGTCTGCTCGGCACAGCTTTCCCCTTATTTGAATAAAGTATTTCTGATGCTGACGAAGTACGCAGAATTGGCCGCCTGCGAGATCAACGTTCGTCACCTACTGCATCTATTTTCTCCCAGTTTTTATAGAGGTACGTTGATACACTTGCATCATCGTGGGATATAAGGGTTGATGGCCGGGATGGATGATAAAGCGAACCGGCGGTTCTGACATAAGTATTTCTTCATCAAGCCAACCACCTGGTGGCGAATCCGACCGGGTTTCCCGAACAAATGGAATTATAATTGTAAGTATCTTGCCGTACACTCGCTATTTTCTTTCTTTTATTATCGACACATTCGCGGCCTTCTTGTTTTTAGCTAAGAGGCGTGCACCTTCTCCCGTTTTTGACATTGAAAACTATTGGGCGTCCTTTCAAAAGCGCTTTGAACCCAAGGTCCCGTCCAGTAAGTGTCATTTCTACCTCAGCTTATTGTTGTTAAACATTGCTCTTTGACGCGACCTCCTTTTGGTGCCAGGTCGGCGAGTTTCCAAGGAGAAAGCTCCAGTGCCTACATTTTGCCAAGCCATCACGTCGGCTGGGATGCAAATTGCTTTAGCCGAGTCTGCTCGAGGAGGTCGTACTCAAGCTCCGCCAATGAGAGATTCCGCCCCACAAACTGTTGCTGTATGGGATGAGATCTCTTCCCAGCCCATCTATCATCTTGTAGACGAGCCATCTAATGGTGAGGAATCACCATCGAGGAAAAGGCGAAGGGTGGAGACTGGGAAGGCCGTCGTCGCTGACGTCGAGCCGAAAAAATTCATTGTTTTGGAAGCGGAATCTGCGCTTGCACTAGACGTAGGGACCGTTTTCACGGCAGGTGCCACTATGGAGAGGTGGACCTCAAGCTGGTCTATTGACGAGTGAAGAAGGGTGACCACGTTTTCTCTTGTAATGTTTTTGGTGGCCGCTACTAATTTGGCGAGGCCATCTGCCTCGATGTTTTGTGCTCGAGGTATCTGATCGAGTCGCCATTTGTTGAATTTCGGTAGTAGTTTATGAATTTCTGCCTGTTACCTTTGTAGCCTCTGCTCTTTGATTTGGAAAGTCCCAGTAACTTGGTTGACAACGAGTTGTGAGTCGCATCTGAGGACGACTCGTCGTGCTCCGTATTTGAGAGCTAGCTTTAATCCTGCAATTACGGCCTCATACTCGGCCTCATTGTTAGTCATATCAGGGCACCGTATGGATTGGCTGATGACTTCGCCTATTGGGACCTCGAGTACGAGTCCCAGTCCAGATCCTAACGCGTTGGATGCGCCGTCGGTGTATAGAACCCATAGGTCGGGTAGACTGGGCGAGGTACGAGAAGTTCCCTGCTCGACCTCGGGCATTATTTTGGGACTGAAGTCGGCGACGAAGTTGTCGAGTAGCTGCAATTTTATCGCTGTTCGCGGCTGATATGTTATATCGTGATCGCTCAATTCTATGGCTCACTTCGCCAATCTCCCGGATAATTCAGGTTTATGCAGGATGCTCCGTAGGGGAAAGGTCATTACCACCGATATGGGGTGGCATTGAAAATAGGGTCTAAGCTTTCGTGAAGTTATAACCAGTGCCAAGGCTAATTTTTCGAGGTGAGGGTACCTCGTTTCGGCATCGACCAGAGTTTTGCTAATATAATAGATTGGAGATTGTATACCTTTATCTTCACGGACTAATACTGCGCTTACCGCGACTTCTGATATGGACAAGTATATCAAGAGGCGTTCGTCGGGTTCTGCTTTGGCGAGTAGCGGAGGCGAGGACAAGTACGCCGTTAGTTCTCTTAGGGCCTCGATGCATTCTGCATTCCACTGGAGCCCGTTGTCCTTTTTTAGCACGTTGAAGAATTTGTGGCATCTGTTGGAGGATCGTGAGATGAACCTCGATAGGGTAGCTATGCGGCCTGTCAACTTTTGCACCTGTTTCTTGCTGGTTAATACTTTAGGTATTCCCTCGATGGCCTTGATTTGGTTGGGGTTGACCTCGATGCCTCTTTGTGATACCAAGAAGCCGAGGAACTTGCCTGAAATTACGCCAAAGGCACATTTTTCGGGGTTCAGCTTCATGCCGTATTGCCTTAGTATACAAAAGGCTTCTTTCAGGTCGCCGAACTTTTTTAGTAACACTAATGGTACTTGCTCCTTTGAGAGGTTGTTGCCCTTTACTGCTGTAACGTAGTGAATGATGTGATCTTCGGGTGTCGTCATATATCTTCAAGTATGGTGGCATCTTGAAGGTTTTGGGTATGGCATGTGGAGCTGCCTCCTCGCTGTATGGTTGTTCGACGAATCGGCCGACATCCCGTTTTGGTAGCAGTTTTGGGGTGCTCGGTATCTTATCGACCCTTTCTTGATGTTCCCTCATCTGATCGCGGAGTTCTTTGTTCTCATTTTCCTTTTCTTCCATTTTCTTTAGAATGGCTCAAAGTGCATCGTTACCTGCGTCAACAGCGGTGTGAGTGTTACCTGTTGGGGGGAGCGGGCTACTCGTCGACGATCGCTGTGATATCCATCTGTATGACATTTCTATTCGCCCATTGAGCGGGTTTGTCGAGTATGTCGCTTAGAGTGCTAGTTAGCCACGTCTCCTGTAGTTTTTTGATTGCTGGTGGTGCTTCCTCAGCTGTGGATGTGGGGCTCCCCTTTCACGTGAAGCGGTTACACTTCCACAAGGGGGAGGTGAGTCGCTCCGCCTGGGTGTAGCACTCAGTGTCGTGTTCTCTTCGCCTTCTCTGTCAGCCTCGTTGATGGTGTTCAAGAGGTTGGCAGTGACGTCTACTACTGCTTTCAGTCTTTCATCTCTTTTTCCTGCCATTGTTAGTTCGTGCAAACTAGGAAAAGATGGATAATGTGGTTGTTATTTGTTTTTTTTTTATCTAGAAAGAACTCAAATTTTAACTAGAAAATTCCCCACATACGGCGCCAAATTGTTTGATCAAAAAGTGTTAAACTCTTTGTTAAACTAATTAATGATGAGATAAAGGATGAATCCTAATAAATATAATCAGATCTAGATAAAGAAAATAACTTGGAAAGATTCGTGGAGTCAGACCATGTTTGAGAGTAACGAGATCAAGCATGTGTTCAATGTTTATCAAAGAATATTGCAGTAAGAACATGTAATAAATGTGGATAATGTCAATAAATGTAATAAAGAGAAATTTATCACCCAAATGTTAGACGATTTGGATGATTCTCCTTCCTGACAGCAACGTGGAAATAAGATACATGTAGATGGATAAGGAATCTTTGGATCTTGTGAACAAGGAATGAATAATGTGAGTAAAGTTATAGAATCAGTGAACAAGACAATATTTGTATATTCACTCCAATCAACTCTTTACATAAAGTGCTCTTATCAAGAAGTGAAGATCCCCTTTTTGTTCTCTATCTCTTCCTATTTATAAGAGATATCCCAAGAAACCCTAGAAAGTACAACATAAGGAATATCCAAAGGAATATTCCTTGTAGCTATTTCTAAATCTTCCCTACCGTTACTTTTTTATTCCATTTGCTCGCCCTTAGAGATAATCCTTCTGAAGACGACTCCTCGCCGTTATGCCATAGTCGACCTCGTCCTCTACCCTGTTTATTTGAAGTTATCAAGCTGTCCAAATTTAGGCCAATACATTATTGTTGATATTTGTTGGCTAATGATGTAGCACCTCCCTTGGCACGTGTGCTTAGACATAGGCGGATCCAGGATTTGAAGTTTATGGGTTCCTATTGTAATTACAAATTAATGTACAATAATAATTGGGTTCACAGTTATATATTTATAGATATTAATGAATTTTTTAATAAAAATACACGGTTTACGTAAAAATTACTGAGTTCCCGGGAATCCAGTAACTATACTCTAGATTCGCCACTGTGCTTGGAAGCAGACTATATATATNTATATATATATATATATATATATATATATATATATATATATATATATATATATATATATATATATATATATATATATATATATATATAAAGTTAAGTGCCATTATTACCCTCAAAACATAAATAAGTTCTTCTTCATCAAATGTAGACCAACACTTTATTATACTAATGTAGAGAAACGGAAAACATTCCACAATAAATACTCATATTAATGAAGTTGCATCTTTTCCACGTACTTCTTGCCATTTTCATATTTATCTAATTTTTTTTAATTATTTCTTTCATTTATACG